AAACCAAACTTTCATATAACTTGGCACCAGGGGTGGGATTCTATTGGTTTGGACCGGTCCTATAAAACTGGTTGTTATGATTCTGCACAGTTTGGAGAACCAGCAAATCGTGCCCCTGGCTGACCAGGCCCCTCTCTGCCCCCCCTTCCCTCCCCGCCCAGTCAGTCCTTATTGCGCATCGCTGACTGCATTCTCCCCCACCCAGTCCCTCCTTAAGGCATTTCTTTCTTGCCTGGGGAAGAAATGGGCATTTCTTTTTTAAATAAAAGGGTTTTTTTTAGTTTTTTTTACACATCTCTTCATGCGAGCAACGCAGTTCCAGATTACAACATTTATACCTAGTCATAATTACCTTTCCATCTGCCTTATTTAACTTCACCTCAAATCATGATCCATTCCACTAGCCTTGAGATAAATTTCCATTTCATGTTTCAATTCATTGGTTCAATATCAGTATCATTTCATCCACACATATATTTTCAATTCTTTATCCCTTATTATTTCCATCTTCAGCCTACCACCTGTACATCATTATCATCCTTAACTTTCTCTAGACTGATATATAATAAACAATGGAAAAAGAGTAAAAATAAAATGAAACTAATATATTTAAGATCCACGTGGTATATACCCCCCCCCTACATATAATTATATAGTAATCATGTTTTTTTTATTTCCACTTAGCCAAAGTTTGCCTATGTAGTTTAATAAATTTTCATTCTCCTACTTTTAATCATAAAAAAAATACTCTCATTGTAGATACTTTATATTCTCATATAATCCTTAGGGGAGGCAAATATTTTTTGAACCCAAATGCAAAAATGAAGACCAGGATGAGATTTGGGGGTGGAATTCCATACTTAAAATAGGTGCTGCTTACTTTTAAAAAATTTGCTAGCCTTTTTGCTGCCCGTGTGATGCTACACTCAGGAAAACTGGTGTTTGGGAAGGCAAATATTTTTTGAACCCAAATATAAAAACGGACACCAGGACGAGATTCAGGATGGAATTCCAGGCTTAAAAAATGGTGTTGCTTGCTGTTTTTAAAAATCGAGCCTTTTTGGTGCCCGGGGAGGAAAATGCCTGATTCCTCGGTCAGGAAAACAGTGCCCAAGGAGGCAAATATTTTTTGAACCCAAATGCAAAATTGGACAAGCGAGACAGTTGTTGTGAGTTTTGACCCAGTTTATGACTTTCCTTGCCACTGTTGTTAAGTGAATCACTGCTGTTGTTAAGTTAGTAACACAGTTGTTAAGTGGATCTGGCTTCCCCATTGGCTTTGCTTGTCAGGAGGTCTCAAAAGGGGATCACACACACACACTCCGTTCAGAATACTGCAACCATCATAGCAATAGCATTTATACTTATATACCGCTTCACAGTGCTTTTTACAGCGCCCTCTAAGCAATTTACAGAACCAACCTCTTGCCCCCAACAATCTGGGTCCTTATTTGACCTCAGAAGGATGGAAGTCTGAGTCAACCTTGAGCCTGGTGAGATTCGATCTGCCAAATTGCAGGCAGCTGGCAGTCAGCAGAAGGAGCCTGCAGTACTGCACTCTCACCACTGCGCCACCGAGGCTCTTAATATGAACTAGTTGCCCAGTATCTGAATTTTGATCACATGACCATGAGGATACTGCAGTGGTTGTAAGTGTGAATAGTGGTCGTAAGTCACTTTTTTGGTGCCGTTGTAACTTTGTCACTAAACGAATGGTTACAGGTTGAGGACTACCTGTGCTGTGTGGTGATGCAATTCTCCTTTGTACAAAAGTTCTTAAACAAATTGTCTTTCACAACTGATTTCGAATTTATAGAAGAAAGTACAGATTTTGGGGGGGAGGAACCAAATCTGCCTTGATCTAAGAATGATGGAGTGTTCAGGAATTGGGGTTGGTAAAAACCAATTAGCATGAACTCAAAAGTTTTTCCAAATGGAGTGCAAACTTATTAAATATTGACTTTGCCATTTAGTTTCATCTATTAAATTGCCTTACATTATATTATATTATATGTTTGCTTAGGTCTGATTAATGCCATAATCTCATATAAAGTCAAGGCAAATTGAGCTGTTAGAAGTTGACAACATTTTAACTCTCTCAAATGACGGTGAAATAGATTGCCATTATGAGTTCTCATTTCTCAGCCTTTTGACTAAAATCCAGTGTAGTGTGTGGAATTTTGGGGATCCTTCCTACTGGAATCTGACCTTTATATATGCCAGGTTTCATGCTTCTAGGCTAAAGGATATATTTTTTTCTTCTGTAGTTTGGTCACTGCAATCATACACAAAAATGTTTTCTCATGATTTCCTCTGCGGGTTCACCAAATAGACAAATGTGGTGGTGGGGGGAAACTTTCATAATGCTTTAAACTGTCAACTCATAAAATATTTCTATGGTCTTTTTAGAGTTGCCAACAGAAAAGGAGGGAGGAGCAGTGCACCAGCTTGCAAAACCAAAACTGCATTTCATAAATGTTTTCAAAGATAGTAACTAGGTGACCAAAGTTTCTCCCACGCAAAATTCTAACTGGAGAACGTGATTGATGACTCTTGGCTATGAATGTGTCCCATTGGAGAATATGAATTACGATACACCCAGGGGGTGGAGGGAAACCAGGGTCAAGGGTGACAATGAATGATGTATCTCAGAGTTGGATGAACCCAGGCAATGCCGGACCTTTTAACTCCCAATAAATCCTTTTGAAGTTTTGGAAGTTTGGCTCAAGACTCATGATTTAAACGCGGGTAGCTGCCGGAATCCTGACATTAACAGTTCCTGCTTTAGCAACCTGGTCCCTTGCAAAAGCAAGTCGTAGTGGCAGTGTGATTCTTTCTGTTCCACTACCACTTCGGTGATTGTACGTGCGCGCAGCTTTCCCCACACCAACTGAGGCCTGCAGCGCCAATCAGCTAAGAGGAGAAAGAAGAGAAAAGCACAGGCGCAGGTGGGAGGGCCAATCCTGCCCTTTTCTTTCTCCTCTTAGCTGATCGCCGGAGGCTTTTTTTTTTTTTGCTACCGGTTCATTAGAACCGGGCCGAACCGGTGTCATACCACCACTGAGTAGTGGTCTATTGGAGTTAATTTCCTACTGAACTGTTGCTATATTGATGCCTTAAATCACGGGTGTCAAACTCGCTGCATCACATTGATGTCGCTGTCAGCTTTGGAAGCCATATTAGCACCAGACGCTTCCACACTGTCACATTCTTGAGCCTGAGAAAAGGGGAGGGGAGAATTTCTTGGAGTGTATGTGGTTAGACATAATAGCATTCTTCTTCTAAGTCAAGGTCATGTTATTTCTGCACATGGGTAAGGGGACGTCTCGAGTTGGGATGGATGGTGATTGGAGCGTGTGATGCAATGATGAGTTTAGGGGAAGGATTTGTAATTTTTTACTTATTGCAAGGAAGCCCGGAACTTTCAGATTTGGGATTCCCCAGATGTGCCAGTTTACTATCCAAATAAAACAGAACTTTTGAGAAGATGTCTGCCTTGGAGTTATTTGTTGGAGTGGAGGTTTTCTGGAACGCTGACAGTCACGTGATGTAATGCAATGGTTTTTTTTTTTTTTTTTTTGCTTTCACAGATCTGGGGTAGGTGTGGCCTGCGTGTGACAGATCCAGCCAACAGGCCGCCAGTTTGACACTCTTGCCTTAAATTCAAATCCACACAGCATTCTATAACGTGAAGTTTTGAAATACACGGAATCACAAAATCTAACCTCTTTTTTTCTCCCTCTCTCTTCCTTCCCCCTGTGATCTCTTTCAGATTTGAAGAACTGGTGAAAAAATTTAAGGTAGAATATCATGCTGGTGGGTCTACGCAGAATTCCGTTAAAGTGGCACAGGTTTGTCCCCCTTCACAATGAATTACATCCAGGTTAAGACTTAATGTCATGCTCCTGTCAAAATCTGATTCCAAGGGAGAGGCCAAGCAGCTGACAGGGAGTTGGAATGTGGCTTCGTTGGCTGTGAAGGAAACTGGGGAAGGACAAAGTCCGACTGGGCAGAGCAGGAGAGAGGTAGAACAAGGGAGAGGAGAGGGAATTCAGAGGAAGACCCAGGCCCATCCCCTCTTCATTTTAGGGCATGCAGGGAGGAACGGAGAAAGGAACAACGTGAGTTACGTGGCTTACAAGGGAGGAAAGGGCCCTGATTCCCTTCATTAGCTGCAGCTGGGAACGCAGTGTTTAAAAAGGGAAGCTGCATGCAGCAAGCTGTTGGGAGCAAATCATAAATTTATCTGGTATTGTGGAGGCTTATCTGTGTTCCTGGCATCTTCCCAATTGTATGTGTTTTGCTGTGCTTTCAAGTCTGCAATTCCTTCTCCTGCCCTGTCAAGTTAATTATTGCAGCATGGTTTGTTTGGATTTTTAGTTACTGTTTGTATGTACTTTGTTTTCGGACTGAATTTTCTCCACTTAAAGACTCTTCTTGGGAGAGTTTTTCTCCAGCCGAAGGTAACCTGGACATTGGGGGCAAAGTTGGAGGTATTAAAGGGATTCTTCTTCCTTATTTGACTGTGTTTCCTTTATGCCACGCCCCAGGTCATCACACTTAAAGATGTTTTCATCCTAAAATGTGTTTATTTATGTAGCATAAACACAACATTCTACGGTTGTACTTTATTGTTGCCAACAGTAGGAAGAGATGGTTATGTGTACAATGATCATCTAAAGTTGCAGCCACTGTTCTCTTTCTGGGTTAGATGTATAAAATGTCCTACTTTAATTGAATAAGATATTTAAATGTTACAGGGTGTCTTGCAGTTGGGGATTTCATCGCCCTTCAAACATGTCCTTGAATAAAGCCAACGATTGCTGGAGACTAAGCATTCTTATCTGAGACTTCAAATTTGTCAAGAAGTAAATTATCTGGAAGGTTTTCTACCTAATAATTGGATTAAAGGCCTGTTAAAAGCTTGACAATTGGGAACAGATTTAAAACTTTACACAATTGGAGGAAGGAAGAATCTTGGGATTTGCAGAGGAACCTGTTTGACAGTTTCTCCCTTCCAATGTGGAAATTAAGTGACTTTGGGGCAGAGGTGGGTATTCATCAGGTTCTGACCGGTGCTGGAGAACCAGTAGCGGAAATTTTGAGTAGTTCGGAGAACTGGCAAATCCCACCTTTGTCTGGCCCTTCCAACCCCTTCTATTTTCTGCCTCCCAAGTCCCAGCTGATTAGCTGGGTCTTCTTTGGTTGCCCTGCACAGGAGAACGGAGCTGGAAAGCAGGTTAATAGGGTAGGAAGGGAATGGGGATTTTGCAGTATCCTTCCCCTGGAGTGAGGTGGGAATGGAGATTTTACAGTATCCTTCTCCTGCCATGCCCACTAAGCCATACCCACAGAACTGGTAGTAAAAAAAATTGAATTCCACCACTGGTTTGGGGGCTGGTTTGAGGAGGTGGAGGCCTGGAGAAGCAAACACCAAGAAGGAACCGGGGACTGAAAACATTTGAGCAACACTGCAGAGTAATCGTAAACTAGTAATCTGAAAGCCATATATGACAGGGGTCCCCAACCACCAGTCCCCGGACCGGTCCCGGTCCGTGGATCATTTTTTACTGGGCTGCAAAGCTTGGGCGCCGCCATCTTGTTTCGACGGCGCTTCCGGGTTTTCGGTTGCTTCCGGGTTTTCAGTTGGAAAGCGGCGTTTGGGTGCTCGCGCCTTAGTTTCGTCGAAGGGGGGGGGCGGCTTTGAACGAAGAGCCGTCCCGATGGCGGTGGAGTCTCACGTTACTCAGGTACCGGTCCGTGGAAGAATAAATAATCGTGAAACCGGTCCCTGGTTCAAAAATGGTTGGGGGCCACTGATATATGACATTGATCTTAAACTTGTAGAATTGAGTGGTAGGAGACTTTAGAGTGACAGAAGGTAAGAACTGTGCCCTTATTAGTCCTCAATTTGCAACTTAATATTCAACTTGTTTTAGTGACTGTTTGAAGTTGCAGTGGAACTCAAAAAAGTGACTTACAACTACCCCTCATACTTATGACCGTCATAGTATCCTTACAGCTGCAATGTCATCAAAATTTGTGGGCTTGGAAACCAGCATGCATCCACGTGTCCTTGAGAGAGACCCTTAACAAACACATGATTGACTTACCTGCTTAACAACCATGGCCAAAAAATGTTGTTAAATTGGACGTGGCTCACTTAAGAACTGCCTTGTTGAGCAACTGAAATTCTGGTTGTAGTCGTACCTCAAGGACTTCCTGTATATAAGGAAAAGTTTGTCTTCTTTTAATCTCTTCCCCCTTCCCATTTTATTAAGTGAGGAGAAAATGAGTTAGAACTTTGCATTATATAAATTTAATTGCATTGGAAAGTCTCTATTTAAAGTAAAATAGTTCTGATCATTTTCATGGGAGCCAATGATCTATAGCCGTGATGGCAAACCTATGGCATGCGTGCTGGAAGTGGTACGCAGAACCATTTCTGCTGGCACGCGAGAGGTCGCCCGGAAGAGCCCCAACGGCACATGCATGCGCACCCCCATCAGCCAGCTGATTGTCGGGAGACACATGCGCATGCACAGAGGCGTGCGGTGTGTGTGGGGGGTTGCGTGCATGCACAGAGATGCATGCTGTGGACACGGGGTCATGCGCTCATGCACAGAGGTGTGCAGTGCATGCACAGGGGGTCGTGCACACATGTGCGGGGGCAGGGAGGTCGTGCGTGCATTGCATCATGGGTGCAAGCATGCAAGCGAGTGCATGCACACACTTTCAGCACTAACCCTCACTGATCTATAGGTTGGGGCACAAAAACTAATGTGGTTATAGAATAATAGAAAATACTTGTAGCTGGGGTTCTAGATTTTGGAGAGGTTTGCTCTCCAAGCTTGTTTCAATTTAGTTTCTGAACGTTTTATTACAACACTAGGTAACATCATCAGCAGGGTTTTCTTGTCCTATTCCTCTTTAGCTTATAACTGTGTGCCCATGTGGTCAATTGGTGGTGTGATTGGTTGTTCGTTTGTTGGAGTTACGTTTCAATTCTGAGCAACCGATTATATTAAAGTAACCAAAATAACTTTTACAATCCCTGAGGCATGGCACAACTTTTGAGCACCCCTAATGTTTGAAAATTAAAAGTTGAAAAATTTGACACGCCCTCGACCAGGGCTATCAAACTCCCGGCCTCTGGGCAGAATGCGTCACGCACTGGCCACGCTCACGCCTGGTTTAGCAAAGGGTGGAAAAGTCCCGATATGTCATGTGATGCTGATGTGATGACGTGAGTTTGACAACCCTGTCCTAGACAATAATCTTCCTTTTTTTTTTTTTTGATATTCAAAATACAGTAGAGCCCTTGGGTTGCCATCGTAATCCATTCCAGGATTTCATCCGCAACCCGATTTGGTTGTGACCGGAAGCACGACCATCTGCACATATGCAAACAAACAAAAAAACAAACACCAAAAAATGGCGCCAAAGGGGAAATCGGCACGGAAAGGGAATCTTTCCACGCTGATTTTGTTCGCCGCCCATTTTTTGAATCGATTTGGTCGCGAACAGGAGCATTTGCGACCCGAGGTTCCAATGTATTTTGAGCTACAAGTTCAGAAGTTCAAAATGCATTCTGTAATTAAGTGACTAGCTGGAAACCTATACCAAACGAACAAAGATGGAACCCTTTAGAAATAAGGGCTGTTCATGTGAGTTGGTCATGTGATCTTTCCCAGCTGAAGAGACAACAAACCAAGGATTGCCGGGCGCGAGCATGTGCAAGGGGTGGCGGCCATAGTTTCTTCTCGCATCAGGCCCTTGCTGCTGCTTCTTACGTCTCCTTTCGCAGAAGAGCCTGCTGTGTCACACCCCAGTGCACCATTGTGCGTGTGTGTGTGAGCACGTGAGGCCCATCATTAATTTGCACATTTGGCAATTATAATTAGGAATCCAAAAATGGATCATTGGCTTTTATCCGGCACACTTAAGAGAAAAGGGACAGATGGTACAAATGGCAGCAATGCATCAGCATATGAAACAAAAGTTAGTAAGCTAACAGTACCGGGGGGGGGGGGGGGGGGG